AAAATATTTTAATTACTATACATATTTTAAAATCAGCATTTTTGACTTAGCTATAGTGGTTGTAAGTTTATTGTACATTATATAGAGACTTTGGTTTATATCTTACTCATTTTGTTGAAAATTTTAATAAGTTACACAATAGTTTCACTATTCTAAGACAGTTTTGATAAAAATATAGACTTGGTTGTACCCATTGTATAGTTAAAAATTGGAGACTTGAGGGACTAAATTTGTTATCTGAGATTTACAGGGTTTTAGTGTCATTTTACCAATTTGATAGACAGTGTCATTTTGACAATTGAGTTTTAGGGCATTAAGGTATGCACTATGAGATGATTAAAATATTTTATTCACATTGCCTTCATAATTGTGTTTAGGTATAATAGAAAGACATAAATCTGAGATAGAGGGAAATATTTAATGACTTGAAACAAATCATACAGTAGGGTCACAGGATTGCTGATAAGATCTTGGACTCTCATTCTGTGAACTAGCTAGGATTAGTTTTCTGACAAGAAATATTTTCTTTCTTTAGGGAATCTAAATTTTCACTTTTTGAAGGTTGAAAATGTTCACTAGTAAAGCAATGCCTCAAGGGAAAAAAAATGTTTGAGAAACTTTTACTTCCTACCAATTAGGATTTTGTCTGATTTCCTCTGATTGGGAAATCTGCAGGATTTGGAAAGCTTTGGCTAGAAATTTCCATCTTTGGAAGGTTCTGGCTAGTTCTTATCCTGAAGGAATCCTCAAGGGAAATTTTCATATATGCATGCAAGTAAAAAGAAGAGACTTATTAAGGCCTGCAGTGACCTTTTGATGAAGAAATTCCCAAAAGGAAATTTTGTTTAGAATATTCCTTATGACCAAGCAAGTAAAATTGGGTTCAACTAGTATATACCACATACTTTAGGTCAAGAATTAGAATTGGCTGGACTTAAGCGAGAACAATAAAGAAGGAAGTATGTAGACAGGACTTGAAAATACCTGTCATTCAAGAGAAGACTGGTCATTAACTCTGAAGTTGGCAGTGTGGGGTTATCTAAAGAAAGCTTATAATCGTGCTCAATTGTGGAGTTCCAGTGAATGCCAGATTAGATTTTCCATCTCTATTGAATAAGATGTAATATTATTCACTTGAGAAATAGTTTTTCTATTTCCCCACTACAATGCTAAATTCTTGTATCATCTATCTCTGTTTCATCTGTTAGATCTGTTTTTTTAAGCAACCATTTCAACTATATTCTCAACATTCTTAATGGAAAATCTGCTTACTACATGTCTGCTTTAGCTAAGTCTTCTATACACTTATTATCTACAACAGGTTCAGAATATATGCAATTTTTGGTGCAGAGATAAAAAAGTTTCGTTATATGTGTTATATTTTAACTCAGAGTGCTTTAAATATTAGATGTTGTGCACATAATACAGATGCTGGTTTTTATGCTATTAACCTCTGCTGCATTATCTACTTTGATTTTCACAAGAAACAATTTTAAACATAAGAAAACTGAATTTGGTGATTCTGATTTGACCCAGGCAACACGGCCAGCAATCGGTTACACTAGAATCACGCAGAAGAATTTCTGACTCACAATCCCCCCCTCTCCATTTTACACTACTCACACTGTACCTAAACATGCAGAAGATCCGACTTACCTCTCATGAGTCTGTATAGAGTGCCATACCATGTGATTTTGTGATGCCAGAGTGTATCACCTCATTCTAGCTGGTTGCCCATTTGTTTCCCTCTACAGCCTATTAGCCTGTTGGTACCACAAACACTGTTGTTCATCCTTAGTTTATGGAACATACCTCTTAGTAGGTGCAGAATTTAGCTTGCCCATCAAACTGACATGAAACACCTTAATTTCCTATACTAAAAAATATTATTACAATCATTTTAGGTGACTTTATCAGTATAAAATGATGAAATTGATTTGGGATTGATATTTGGATGGCCATATTATTATATATAATGGATACACATGCTGCATATTTATTAATGCCTATGAGTTACATAATCTATTAAATAGGTACAATAAAGTGAATTATTTCATAATGTTCTTTGCAAATATTTATGGTGGAAGTGTTTTAGGCTATACCCAGTGGTGCTCAGAAGCCAATCCTGAATCTGCCAAGAGGTTGTTCTGATTGTGCTTGGGAGGACCATGCTCAGTGCCAGAGATTATGCCAGCATTGTCTGCATACTAGGTAAACCCATGGACTATATCTTGGCCTTATAATCTTGTGAAGAGTAAATGAATTTATATTCCTTAAATCAGGTCCTAGCATATAAAGCATTGTCAGGATTGTAATTATTATTATTTATGAACATTATACAAATAAAAAACAATTACTAATAAGTGGTGTATGACAGGATTCAATAAATGACTATGAAATTGATCAATATGTATCAGCTTTTAATGCTAGTTTATCTTGTTACTGGTCCATGATAAAGTAGCTTCATTTTTACCTCACACTGTTGCGTTTGCCTTGCACGCAGCCAACATGGCCGACCCAAGTTCGATTCCTCCACCCCTCTCGGAGAGCCCGGCAAGCTGCTGAGAGTATCTTGTCCACACAGCAGAGTCTGGCAAGCCACCCGTGATGTATTGGATATGCCAAACACAGTAACAACAAAATCTCCAATGGAGATGTTACTGGGCCCGCTTGAGCAAATCGATGAACAACGGGAGGGCCTTTACCTTAAATTTAATACAAAACAAAATTTTCAATTTCGATTCTATACTTCCCTGCCCTCAGCCAACCTTAGTTTGGTTCCTGGCACCTAAATGGTCCCCTAAGCCCGCAAAGTTTATCCCTGAACATTGTTTGGTATATCTCCTTAGAACTGTAGTACTGTCCTCCTGTTCATCAATTTGCTCGAGTGGGCACCAGCAACATCTCACAACAAATTGTGAGACTTGTTACTGTTTTTGGCATATCAAATACATCACAGGTAGCTTGCCAGGCTTTGCCGTGTGGGTGAGATACTCTCGGTAGCTTGTCGGGCTCTCCAAGAGGAGGTACCTCCTTAAAAAATAATTATTTTGAGGTGATTGGGTATCTTGCATTTCCTCCCTCAGGACTCCCTAGAGTGTGCTCTCTGACTTGAATTATATGTGTGGCTACTAAGTGGATGTAGATTTTTTTCTCTAATTTTAATGCTTATACTGATATGATTTACCTTATGGCACAATGCAGAATATGCATAATAGGAGAAGATCAAAGGATGCTAAAGAAACAAAGATTCATACATTATGAATGCTTCATTTTTGCTCCATAGCTGATGCACAGTAAAAGTGAAAATAGAAGTTGTTGCTCTACGAGTTGAGATGCTTCATATTTTGAGGTGATTTCTTAATTTTATAGAGGGATAATATTTTATTCTATAAAATTTATTTTTAAATTCTACAATGTTTACCTTTATGGCTCTGAAATTATCAGGCATTAAATCTAAGAGCCCCTAGCTGGAAATCTAAATTAATATGAGTTGTAGAAAGACTCAAATGTTCTCTCTTTCCTGGAGAGTTCATTCTGCCACTGATATTCTTGTTCTATTCTTATGAACAACCCTTTCATCACATATCTCATACTTGTACTTATAATCGTGTCATTATTCATGTTATGTTGTGTTATAGTTTTCCTTTTAAATATGTATCTTCTGATTTAGAACCAAACTTCAAAACTGTGGGTCATTACCTCATAAAAGGGTCAAATAACTAAATGTGAGGTTGGTAAAAAAAAAATGGGCAGTTGTAAAAGGTTTCTGAATATGCAGTGACCATAATTTAATTCAAAATAATCCGTGTAAAAAATTCAAGGTGTTTTTGGCAGTGTTTTTTATGTGTTGCATTTTCCAGGTGTAAAGGAGTATCAAGTGGAAAAAGTTTAAAAGAAAGCCCAGTCTTAGAGTCCAATGTCTAAATTGTGGGCTTTCACTATAGGGTTTGTGCCTCTTTAGCTGTGGATATACAACATTATTTAATTCCTCGGATAGGGGAGGTGATTGATATATGCATATCAAATATATTAATCAATTTATCCTTCACACAATTAAATTTCTTATATCTACATTGATTGCCTCAAGAATTTGTGAACCTGCGAGCACTACTTATGCACAGAACAATGTGTTTCTGAATGTCAGTAACTTTGAGAAAATTTTTGTCGCTTTGAGAAAACTTTCTAATCTTTGAAAAAACGAATTGCATGTTCATGATGTTTGTTTCTACTGTGAGTGTCACTTTTGCACTTGGACTCAAGCGTGTTATCATGTACGTGTTGCTTTGTTGAACATGCTTGTGAAGCCTTATTTTCATTTGCATGTTACCTATTTAGTGGATTTGTTCAAGAACATAACCTCTGTATCAAAAAACAAATGCATGGTTTGTTTCAGCGAACTGAGTCTTAACCCATAAAAAATATCTAGCTACTTAATGTAGTGTTTGGCATGTAACTGTTTCAATAAATGTTTGTGGAATGCATGGACAAATCAGTTATCATTATTAACTATTGCAGATTAGGTATGAAACTTTAAGAAATGGATTGCAATTAAATACACAGTATGAGACAGCAAGAATGTAGTAAAGCTTGACACATATTTTTTCTGTGCTTCTACACTGTTATACAGACTCGCTGAGAAGTGTCATATATGTCTGATTACTCAACTTTACCATGCAGTAAACTTCTGCATTCTAGAGGCTAGAGACCTCTTTTGTAAATGTTGTTTGTCGTAGGAATACTATGTTGGCATTGAGGAGGCCTTAGCAGATAAAGTGAAAGAACATATGGCCACCATGTGAATACAAATTGGTGGACATAACATGGTAATTCAGCTTAGATGTCCTGTATACTGTAAACTGAAAGAGTTTGATTAGAGGTGTTTATAAACGGCGTCTGAGTTCCCCCCATGCTCCTCCCTACCCTCTTTCCTCTGTAGTTTGATCGTCCTGAATCATAGCCACCCAGCGTCCCGGTCTCACTGAGTTATTTGTTAAAGTGGCCAGCGTGAGGAATTATTAATTAAAGCTAACAAATCACTCTGACGAGCTGTGCCCTGGCATGGTTGAAGGTTGATTGGCGAAAGTGTTCTCCTTTGGAGAAAAGACTTTTTGTGCTCGTGACGCAGTCAGAGACGGATTATTGAATATGCAAGTTAGAAGAAAAATCACAGGACAAGCAAATTGAGTATTTACTGGCAAATAATTGCTCTCTTAAGCTGTGGCTCTCTTCCTAAATTCTTAACATTCCCGAGGGTTAGAAAGAAACAGAAAAATGCATCGGTACAGAGTACATTTGAAAAAAAATACATAGACTGATGTTTCAGACTTGTGCAGGTAAGTGTGATTGTGCGTGCATGGAAAATGAAACAGCAAGGGAAAGTAAGGGGGAAATTTTAATCTGGTGGTGTTTTTCAATCAATTTGTTGTTTATTAGAATTCTACTCGGAGTATTTCTAAGTTGACTGTGAATTTAGTTTCACTGTTGCATTTATTGTGAAAGTTAGAGAAATGAGCAGTTTGCTCATAGTTTCTTTCTGTCTTAACAAACTGAAGGTTGTTTCTATTTTGATGGATAATTGTAAACTTTGTGATATATTGTGGATATGAGTATAAAATTATTGTTTGATTTCATGATCTAAAGAGATTTTCTCAACATTGTCAGTTATGACCTCTCTTAACACGGTCCCAAATACCCTGGAGTACTGCTGTTGCATTTACTTTCAAAGTTAACTCTGTTTTACATTAGTACCAAGCTAGTTCTTCTTCAGAATTTCCAAACGAAGATTATAATTTTGAAATACTTAAATGCGATATTTCTGTAATAACCAAAGTGATTTTATTGTCAGTTGTGTGATCTAAAATGTTGATCAGACTACTGAGGTTTCTAAACATTGTAAGATAAATGAGTCTAGTTTAGAAGCTTTTTTCCTAAAACAAATTGAAGTACATAAAATATGCTAAATGTAGAAATAAAGACTCATTGTGACATAAAGAAACAGAGATACTCCCCTAAATGCAACTAGGTTATATGAGCAGCTCTACCAACACCCATTTATCTATCTATCATGAATTTCATATTCTTTGAAAACCTGGAAAATGCTTTTTTATTGACAACAAATTGTTTTGGAAATGAGAATAATTGGCTGGAGAAGTAGCAATTTAGGATTTAATAACTATGAATAACATGGATTTAAAGCAAAAGCATAAACATAATTTAAACTAAATTAACTTATTAATAATTGCAAGTGCTTTAACAATAAAACATCTACATGATAGTGCAAATAATAGAAATAATAATTAAAATGTAAAATCTGGCAGTCACCCAGAAGTTATATCAGAGAATTTTCATGTTTTTAAATAAAATTTAATATTTAAATGTAAAATAATTTTAAAATACAAATAATTAAAACTTATATTTTTGCTTCTCAACTATTTCTTGAACCTTGCAATGTTGTGCTAACTAGATTTTTTTATATGTCCTGTTTTGTTAAAAATTATAGTTTGTTCTAATATGTAGTGTGAAACTCATGTAGAAAATATATTTTAAAGGTTAATTTTCTTCTGGCTCATGTTCTGTCCTCAGATTTAAAGAGGCATCCCCTTAAAGTTTCTTGTGACTATTTGAGGCCATAATTTGGTCCATTATTTTGAAATAGCAAAAGGGACATTTAAAGCATATGTTCAGAGACTAAACCATCTGCCTGCTTTATTATGAATACCGCAGAATTTTGAGAGCTTGGAAAGCCTCAAAAATTAAATGAGTTCTATGCAACACTAAGAAAAAATACATCACTTTCATTTAAAAAGCTATCTTGTGACCACTTAGTATTGTTGAGTATTTCATTACTTTTCTGGAGGAAACTGATAGTATATATTTTTGATATATAGAGAATGAATATAATTAGTGACATGAACCTATAGCAAAATATGGTAATGTTTTCTCTTTGATTTAACCCAGTTAACCTAAAAAATGCTTTTAAAGTTTTATATTGACTTGTCAGTAGTGAAATTCATTACGAATTAGAGAAATATTTTTAAATGGTGACTGTTGGAGCAAAAGTCCAGCTGCTAGATTCTAAAAATGAATTGTTGCACGAGATATGTTGGAGGTTTTAAGAAACATTTTTAAGAAACATTTCTGCAATTCAGCTATGATGGAATACCAGTGTGAATCAGCTATTGGTTGCCCATGTTGAGGGTGGGGGGAGCATGACAATATTTGGCATTATTCCAGATGGTACTATATTTCTTTGATGTCTGGAATACTATGAGACTCAAAAATTAATACAATTACATAAGTAAAGTTTAGGCTGTAAATAATAATATTTCAGTCTTTTTTTGCTTTTTGGGTCACACCCAATGATGTGTGACCCAAACAGGGGTTGCTCCTGGTTCATGCACTCAGAAATTAATCCTGGCCGTCCTCTGAGGACCAATATGGAATGCTGGGAATCAAACCTGGCTTGGGCCGCGCACAAAGCAAACGCCCTACCGGCTGTGCTATCACTCCAGCCCCTAATATTTCAGTCTTAAGTGGTCGTATTAAGGATACAAATCATAGTAAGAATCGTTATTAAAATGTCTAGTGTACAGTTAGATTTCTTCTAACTTATCTAATTTTACTAAATTAGGTGGATATAGCTGAATCACTATCTGAGGAAATGCAGAAAATAGGGTAAAGCTAACCTAAATCTGCTTTCATTAAGAATGACTTAATTACTCTTTGTTGCTTGATAAAAATTATTTAATTAAAATAAAATAATGAATACAAAAAAGTTATATTTTGACATCTTTGAAAATCAGGTTTAAATTAATATTTTGCATGAGCAAAATATGTGTGTAAAACATTTAAGTATAGCATATGCACATAATTTGATCACATATACATGTAGATTTTTTTCAAAGGAAAATATTTTCAGAATCTATACCTCAATATACTAATTGAACGTAGGATATTTTGATATGTTTTAAAAACTTAACACATAGATTTTAACACAACTCTAGTTGGTTTTCAGAACTGCAGTATATCAGATTTTGCGACCTTGTGCTGAAAATACCTAAGACCAATTTTGTATGAATCTTCCTATGATGCTATTTTAATTTTATTCCTTCCTAAATTCCAATACTGGGAACAATTAAGTTACTCTATTAGCCTGAGAGCCTCAAAATACCTCCATTTACTGAAGAGGTTAGTTGTTTCCTATTGGGGAGATGTCTAAGGTATTAATCTAATATATTTACATACTTACTGTTTTATTTGTTCTTGAGACCTTATTCCCATATGGGAGTTAAATTTTATGACAGAGAAAAATAAATAACTGATAAAGTAAAATATATGATTAGAAGTAGACAAATATGATAAGCAAAATGAAACAAAATAAGCGACAGCAAACACAAATACGGGGGCTGGGGCTGAAGCTATAGTACAGGGGTAGTGTGTTTGTGACACATGTGGCTGACACTGGTTCGTTCCTGCCACTCCATTTGGTTCCCCAAGCCCACGATGATTGATCCCTATGCACAGAGCTAGGAGTAAGTCCTGAGCACCACCAGTTGTGGCCCAAACCAAACCAAAAAATGGCTGCAAAGTTGGTCAACATACAAACTCTATTCAGTGACATGCGTACATTTTTTTTTTTACATTTTCTTGCAGTTGCATCCAAGAGAAAAAAAAAAACTGGCAAGTTATTAAGTTATTTGATTTTTAACATTCAGAGGAACAACAAAATAGCTTTATCATTAATTGCTAAATCTCTTGAAAACTGGACAGACTTGGGGCCCATGAAATACTGTATTAAGTAAGATGCTTGCCTTGCACACAGTCAGCCAAGGTGCTGCAACTTGATCACTGCAAGTTGATCACTGGCTGAAACTGCATATGGTTTCCTGAGCACGCCAGTGGTTTTTGAGCTCAGTCAGGTAAGTCCTGAGTTAGTTGTAAGCCCCTCTAGCTAAAAAGAGCAAAAAACTTTGGACAGATGCTTATAAAGAACCTCAAAAGATCTTATTTGATATAGGGAGTTAAGGGAGGTGTTTAAAAGTATTATTTCCTGTTATATAGGTGTGTGTATATATAAAATATAAAATTAGCTTTCCTTACTTTTAAAATTTCCATCAAAAAACCTCTTCAATCAACATTGCTTCCCTAATTGGTTTCTAAAATTATTTCTCCAATGCCATTCTTTTTCCTCTTTTACTTTTTTTGAATATTTACATTTCATTGTATTTTTACAAAGTTGCTCACAAGAATTCATTACATTTAATATTCAAACACCTACCCCACCACCATTTCACCTTCCTACCACCATATTGTGGATGTTTATACCCCAAATCCCAAACTGTGGCCCCAAAGCAGAGCCAAAACAATTTTCTATTGCTTGTTATGAATAGTCCACTAAAAACGGTCCCATACAGTGTCCACAGAGAAAAGTGTGTGAAGATTGTTGTATTTCATCCTGGAGCCATGAAGCCCTTGTATAAGAGATTCCTAAGATGTTAGTTTACTCCCCTCACGTGTTGTGTGCTACTCTTGGTACATCAGTGATGTAGAGTATGAAAGAACAGGTGGCCGCGTTTGTGGGCGTGCATTTTAGGAATTCTAAAATTTAGAATACAATTATATATAACAGGTTCCCTCATGGATAAGGCTTGTCCAGGCCTGTGGAGAGCGGCCATGTACATGGCAGAGGTTGATTTCTGGAGGTTTTTGGCTACCAAGGCTCTGTTGGGGCCTAGAGGGAAACTCACCCGCTCTCCCTCCCCCCCCCCCCCCCGCAAGTTGCACCAGTGAAGACAGCCTAGCCTGAGGTCGGGAGGCATCTCTGTCGTATGTCGTTCTGTGTTACTCTCTTCCAGGAGCTTTATTTCTGAGTCTCTGGATCATGGCCGTTGATGAGATTTATGGTGCCAGAAGTAGTTTGTGGGTATGGCTGCCAAACTACTGGTAAACTAGGGAGATGGGAGGAGGAAGCCCATTCCTGCTCTAAGTGAGCTTGGAGATTTTAGTCACAGGTCCCACCTCTTTACTTTAAGTATTCTCTGTGTATGTGAAATATTAAAAAGATTCCTTTCTGCACTAAAATGCAGTGTTTCTTTCTTTCTTTTTTTTTTTTTTTTTGCTTTTTAGGTCATACCCGGTGATGCACACGGGTTACTCCTGGCTTGTGTACTCAGGAATTACTTCTGGTGGTGCTCAGGGGATCATATGGGATGCTGGGAATCGAAGCTGGGTCGGCCATGTGCCAGGCAAATGCCCTACCCGCTGTGCTATTGCTCCAGCCCCCAGTGTTTCTTGCTATTGCATCCTCCTTTGATTTATTTTCAAAAGAAAAACT